CAGGCCAACTGGGGCTACAGAGAGACCCTGTCTCAAAAAGACCCCCCCAAAAAAGAAAAAAAAAAAACAAAACAGATTAAATAATTAGCAAATAAAAGCAAACTATATAAAAAAAATAATCCATCTAGGTGGGGTTTATTCAAGAACCATCTGAAAAATCAAGCAATGTAATTCACTATATAAACACATTGTCCTAGTTTTCTACTGCTATGATAAAACACTAATCAAAACCAACTTGGGGAGGAAAGGGTTCACATATCACGATTACAACTCATTCTTGAGGGAAGCCAAGGCAGGAACTTAAGCAGGGTAGAAATCTGGAGGCAAGAGCTAAAGTACAGACCATGGAGGAAAGCTGCTTACTGGCCAGTGTGAAGCCAGCTTTCTTATACAACCTAGGACCACCTGCCTAGGGGTTGCATTACCCACAATGGACTAGGCCCTCGATCATCAACCAGCAACTAAGAAAATGACTCACAGATATGGCCACAGGACAAACAGATGGAAGCAATGTCTCAATTGAGGTTTCTGCTTCTTGGGTGTGTCAGTTTGACAACTGAAGTTATCTAGCAAACACTTTTTAATAAACGAAATTCCATAGTATCTGTCCAGTTCCATTTCTGTTATTGTGATAATACCTGGACAAACAATAACTGAGGGGAGAAAGGGTTTATTTGGCTTACAATTCTAAGTTTCAGTCCATAATTGCAGAGAAATGACAGGGGAAGGAGCTTGAAATTGCTAGTCACAGTCAGAGTCAGAAGCAGAGAGAATTAATGCATGCATGCTTGCTTGTCTGAGCTCACCTCATTTCTCCACTCCTACACAGTTCAGGATCTCCTGCCCAGGAATGGTGCCACCCACATGAAACTCAGTTTTCCCATACCAATTAGCAGTCAAGACAATCCCCCCACAGACAAGCCCACAGGCCAACCTGATCCAGAAATTTCCTCAGTTAAGACTCTCTTGAGTGATTATAGGCTGTGTTAAGTTAACAATTAAAAACTTAAACAGCCCAATATCTTAATATATGTTAGCAATAAAATCTGAGGTCCAAGGACCCCACTGATATGGCACATAAAAACGTGGAAAACAGAAAGTAACTCCTCGAGGCAGATTTTATTTACCTCAGTGTGTATTATGTCATTCAGATCAAGCAGGCACACCAACCACAAAGTCTGATAGCTTTTTAAACCTAAAGCAATAGTGTCGTATCTTTTTCCCCACTGGCTGGGATCTGACCACACAGTTTTAGTAGTTGGCTAGTTTTTTGTTGTTTTTTTAATATTTTATTTTATTTTTATTTTATGCGTATACTTGTACTGCTTGCATGTATGTAAGTGCACCCATGTCATGCAATGCCCAAGGAGAACAGACGAGGCTGTCAGATCCCCTGGAACTGGAGTTACAGACAGTTGTTAGCTGCCGTGTGGGTGCTGGGATTCAAACCTGTGTCTTCTGCAAGAACAGCCAGTGTTCTTAACTGATGAGCCATCTCTCCAGCCCTCATGGTTGGCTAGTTTTAAAAGGACTGGTATAAAGGAAATGAAGGAGAGGGGTTAAGAGTTGGGGGAATTAAAGAGCTCAGTGGTGGCAGACCATCAGGTTCCAGGAATGCAGCAAGGGTTTTTCTATATAAACAAAAGTTTTTCGGGATGGGGGATTAAAAGATTTGAATTCCTTGTTCTAAACCAAAGTTTTACAGTGTTTGACAGAAAAGACTGATACTTAATGTTTCTTACACTAATTTCACGAAATTCTCTACCCAATTTTAATACTGGATTATAAATCTGGTCTTCATTTCCTTTCTGAAAAAATAGCCCCTAAAATTCCTGGAATTTCCCGAGTTGTAAAAGGGTCTTTTCTATGCTGATGAGATAGATACTGGTAGCTAGTTTCAGAATGGGGGATGGTCACAGGAAAAACCAGGATGATTAGAAGATTACCCTACCCCCAATAGCAGGAGAGAGAAGAGGAGCTGAAAGTTAAAATACCCACCATTAGCCAATGATTTAAAATTGATCACACCTACATAATAAGGCTTCCTTACAAACAAAAAGTCTGGGTTCAGAACACTTCTAAAGAGTTGAACATACAGATGATACTGCAAGGTGGCATATCCTTAGAGGGCATGAAAGTTCTAAATTCTCTTCTTCCCATATAACCTCACTCTTCATATCTCTTCCATCTGCATTCTTTAAAATATCTCTTAAAATGAACAATGAGGAACTGGAGAGATGGCTCAGCAGTTAACAGCAGTGGCTGCTCTTTCAGAGAACAAGGATTGATTCCCAGCACCTATTTGGCGGCTAATTAACATCCATTAACTTCAGTTCCAGGGGACACCCTCTCTTGACCTCCAGGGGCATTGCAGGAAACAGGTACACTTAAATACATGAATACAGGGAATACACTCATGCACATAAAATAAATATTTTTTTTTTAAACGTGAACAATGAAATGTGTTTTCCAAGATCTGTGAGCTGTTCTCACAAATTAACTGAACTTGGGGAAGTGATCAAGGGGACCCCAATTTACAGCATGTATTCAGGCTTTCTGAAAGCCCAGACTAGTAAAAAGCATGGGGATGGGGAAGGTATGGAGAAGAGAGGGCAGATATAGTGGCTCCAAGTCATCAACCAGTGTCTTCAGTGAGACTGTGTCAGAAATAAAACTAAAAGCTGGCTGATTGCTTTCTCAGTTATGTAGGGGGAAAGCTCAAACTTTTGGTACAAAGAAATGTTCTGTGTTGTGAGAATAAGAAGAAACTGTTTTTGTTTTGCTTTTTCTTTTATTTTTTAAAGAAATTTTTAAATTTTTAATCAGATGCATATGCCCACGGAGGACAGAAGAGGGTGTCCAATCTCCTGGAACTGGAGTTCTGTTAGCTGCCATGTGGGTGCTGGGATTTGAACTCAGGTTTTCTGCAAGAACAGCCAGTGCTCTTAACTACTGAGCCATAACTCCAGTCCACTGCTTTTCCTGTTTTATATATTTCCTTTAGATATACTTATATGTGTGTCTCTCTGTGTCTGTCCTATATGTGTGGGTATCTGTGGAGGCCAGGAGTGGGCATCAGATAACCTGAAGCTGGAGTTACAGGTGGTTATGAAACACCCAACATGGGTGCTAGGAACAGAACTCAGGTCCTCTGGAAGAGCAGCAAGAGCTCTTAACCACTGACTCTAGTCCTTGTTTTGCTTTTCTATATTCTTAATTTATTATGAAAACATACCACCTCAATGTGTTTCTCCTAGGTTTATTTTTCTATTATCTTCATGATATCAGGTTTTAAATTTAGGCCTTTGTTCCATTTTGAGTTGATTTTTATACAGAGTTAGAGGTAAACCTAGGAGAAACACTAGTGTGGACAATAGCAAAAGTATAGGCAATGATTTTAGAGACTGAATCTCAAAGGTACAGGTAAATAAAATCCAAAAAAGACAAATGAGATAACATCAAACTAAAAAGCATCTGCACGGCAAAAGAATTAAGGAAAATGACAAAACAACCTAAGAAAATGGGTAAAAAAATGCCCATTAATCATTTGAACAATGACTAATAACCAAAATATATAAGGGATCTCAACAGTCTTAGCCAAACAGCATGCAATACAATTTAAAAATGGGAAAATTAGGGCTAAAGAGATGTCTCATCAGTTAAGCGCACTGACTGCTCTTGCAGAGGACGGGAGGTTCAAATCCCAGTGCCCACATCACCTAACTGTCCATAACTCCATTTCCAAGGGATCCAATGCCTTCTTCTGACCTTCTCTCCAGCACTGCACAACACTGGTGCACTTATATACATGCAGGCAATACACTCATATACATAAAATAAAAATAATAAATAATTTTAAGTGGGAAAAATCAGTTGGGCATACTGGTACATGCCTTTAATCTCAGCACTTGGGAGGCAGAAGCAGGCGGATCTCTCTGAGTTCAAGGTCAGCCTGGTCTACACACTGAGCTCCAGGCCAGCTGGAACAAGGGAGACCCTGCCTCACCAAAAAAAAAAAACAAAACAAAACACAAAACAATCAAAAAAGTGGGAAAATTAGCTAAACACACAAAACTCAAAAAGAAGAAATATAAATGGACAATAAATATATGAACAGAGGGTTGGGAATATAGCTCAGTTGGCAAACTGCTTGCCAAATAAGGCCCTGGGTTCAATCCCAGCACCATATAAACTGGACACAGTGGCACACACCAGAAATACGTGTACTTGAGAGTTGAGGGCTATTAGTTGGATGAGTTTGACTTTCACTTATTTCACTTAGAATCAATTAAGCCAGTAAAATATGTAAGGAATCTAATCTTTTTAAATAAAATAAAAGTGACTAATATAAGACAATGAAATACTACTAGGCCAGGCGTGGCGGCACATGCCTTTAATCCCAGTGAAGGCATAGATAGGCGGGTCTCTGTGCTTTTGAGGTCAGCGTGGTCTACATAGCAAGTTCCAAGGCAGCCAGGACTATATAGTAAGACCCTGTGTCTCAAAAACCAAAAAATAAAAATAAACAACAAAAAACTACTGATTTCTCTTTCCTATCTAATCTCTTTTCTACAGGATATTTTCAAGGAATTAACAAAAACTCACAAGAACTTTATTTTTTAGTATAACCAACAATAATCTGCCAACAAAACAGGAAACAAGCATACAAATGTACACTAACCTTCCAGTAGTCAGACTGTAAACTGTAGTACCTCTGGTATGCAGATAATGCTGAAAGAAGGAAAACAATATGAGTCACAATTATGTTTCAACTTAAAGTCAATAACGGAAGTTTTAAGAAACATTATTAGAACAGGTACTTAGACACTGCTTTTGCTGATAAGCATTGATTTCTCACCCGGACACACAAGATAACTAAAAGCACAATAAGCCTGGTATCTATGCCTTCATCGTTTATATCTCATTGTTTATTATCACCTACTTAACTCTACACACAGGCATATTAATCATTCCAAGAGTATCTAAGAACTGGTAAAACCTGACCTGTCTGCTTATCC